GGTCTCATTCCGAAAGGCGGGGGTAAGTTCGTGAGGTTTCCTAGTAAGTCAATAGAATTGTGTTAAATTGTCAAAGTCAACAATTGTTATAGTCAATTGTGTTGAAGTTAAAGTGTTAAAGTCGATAATAAAATAGAAAGTATCTATATTTTTGATCTGTTAATTCTTCACCCGTAACGACTGCTTTAATTCATCGTAGTTGATATGTTGATCGGTTTTCGAAATTTTGATGATGTATTGCAGAAATTCATCGAAACTTTTTGGTAAGAATCTGCAATACTGATTCTCCGCTGATGCACTGCTTACGCATTATATAATTGCGACAGAACTTGTTCCGTTTCAATTTCTCAAAATATCCCCATCGAACTCATCAGAAATTCTCTGATAGTTCGCCAAATGTAAACTTGTCAGGAAACGAAAAGATCAATGATACTCTTAAACAAAAATAAACTCACTTGAAAAATTCAACAAATGACGTTTCTAACTTCAATGTTTTTACTTCATTCGAATTTTTCGTACTTTTCCACGGTAAAACGCCTTCACCCAATTCAACAAATGAATAGTACAAACTGATGAAATCGTCTTCTGGTGTCTGCAAGTGTCGTTGCGTTTCACAGATGTTCAACTTAAAAACTCGTAGTGTCAGCGCTTCTGCAGTCTGAGACGATATACGATATTGTGCAGGTTTGAAAGACAATCAAAAACGACTTGATTCGCAATTCATCCCATCAGAACATGCTGCGTCGATGTATAATTTCAGCGACATTTCCGTAAGCTGAACAAATCCATTGGTCAAACAAAATTGCATAAAATGACCTGCTCTTTGCCAAGATGTACATTAAAAGAAGCATATCTCATTGTTCCTCGAAATCCAGCGAATTCCCTCTTCTTCCGTTCCTCACCGGACTGTCTTCTGAATCGTCGAACCATCCCAAAATCAAGCAAATAAATTGTTCGTTTTGTTCTCACAGTTGAACCAATGCAAAAATTAGATGGCTTTATATCCCTGAAAATGGTTTTCGGGGCGTGAAGAAGAAAGATAGCAAAGAAATTTTCGATTTAATTTTGTTTGTTTGTATCATAGGAGTTAAAAAAAGTAGAATTTTCGAATTCCAATGCTCATCGATGAACGAACGTATCGCAGTCATTTAAAGAGAAATCACTCCTTGATGAGAAAAGAGTTATTTCAACAGGAAGTTAATTCATTTCTGTGATAACATTAAGTGATTTTAAAAAACTATGAACTGTGATCCAAAAAATTTATGGTAATATTGGAATTATGAAGAGCCTCACTGGTTTTTTCGAAATATGAACATTCTCAGTGGTATGATAAATGACATATACGGTTGCTACAATGTTGAATCAGTTCATGAGAATTGTTTTCTTTGAATTAGTTTATGAGGATATGTGAACGTTGTTTATGAACAGTGGATAAATTGTTTTTGGCAAAACTTTTCAGTGTCGAAAACATTGACAACAGGTCAAAAAGATGCGAACATTGACATTTTCGTTCATAACTGGATGCAACTTGCCTGTGAATAAAATCAGAATCGTGTATAATTTTAATGGCATCAATCGCCTGTAATCCACACATCACAATGCACACTAGCGAGAAGCGTTGCGTCGATTCACGTTTTCGTAATTCGGAAAGATTTTTGCCGAGTAATTCCATAATGATGAAATGTACCGTTTCAGTACAACCACTTGCATACTAAAATTATGTTTACGTTTGCCTTAGAGAGAGCTTTTAAACTGTTAATTAGAGAATCTTTTATGAAAACTGAGAAGCGCGCTGATACTTCCCGACTTCATTCATGCTTATTTCACATCTACGAAAGCGATGCAAAAGATGGGGTTTCGATTAGAACTGTAAAGACAGTTTACAGTTGCTTACAATCTCATTAATTTTACGCTCACATCTGAATTCATTATTCATTTCTCGTCCTCGAAAGGATCATGTCTTCTTTGGTCAAATGTAAAACAAAAAGAGTTGAGTTAAATTAATCATAAATTGACCAGTCTAGGTATATGTTTACAGCCACGAAGTTTGAGTAAAATCATTTGTTCGAGTACCATCCTAGCCGGTTCGTGATCCGATGGAATGACTTTCACAGCTGCGATTCTTTTCTTTGACTGAAACAATCTCCTTTTCAAATCTATGGAAGAACGTGTCAATCTTGAGACACTATCAAAGTGAAGCATGAGATATATCAGTGTTAATCTATTCAAAAGCTGTAATCACCTCATCAAACGCTCGGTATATTTGTCCGAACCCTCCACCGCCGATCATTTGTTCAACGTGATATTTCTCCAGCAAAACTGTACCCCTGTCCAACAGTCGAGGTGCACCCTTGCCGCACTGAAATAATTTATTCATCACAATTCATGCTTATTAGTTTAGTGACGAAACTGGAAAATTTGTCAAGGTGTACACTTCAATGTGTCCTTACTCTTCTCTGTGCGAAAGGCGATGCTCCAAGTGATTTCATTATTCTCCATTTCGAAAGCTGAAAACAAAAAGGCGTCAAAACATTTTCTCACATTGTTTACCAAAAGATGCAGTTAAAAGTATTTTGCTGGAACAAGACTTCATAAACACTTTAGCAGCAGTGAAGTCAATACATTGATAGTAACAGTTGCTCACGAACTCGGACGTTTGAAAACTTATTGATGAACGTGAGAATTAACTGCATCCAGATATCAATGATATGAAGTCATTCTCAATCTCTCTTGGTTTCTTCAAAAAATACTTAAGCATTTCCGATCTTCATCAGAACTTCTCAACTCCATATCTCGCACAGTTCTCTGTTTGTTTTTCTTATATAGACCAAGTAAAAGTAAANGTCAGGCACCATTCATTTATTTTGCATATGCCATCGTGGAATGTGATACGGATTACTTGAATTCGCATAAAGCATTTCACAGTCTCAATTTTGTAGCCAATTATTGAGAGGATAACCTGAGCAAAACTTAGTTTGTCTTTATCTGGTGTTGTTTTGAAGACTGATTTCGAGCCAATCAAAGCGTTCGTTGTTGTTGTTCTAGTCATTATGTTCGGCAACGTTCCTTGTCCTTCAGCACTTTGCGCTGTCGCAGTTTTCTTTTTCAACTCATCCGACTTGGAATTCATGTCGCCGTTTGTTTTTATTTGGGCATTCGGTAAATATTGTATGTCAACAACATCTGCTGCTTCTCGCTTTTGCTGCTCTTTTGACTGTTGCTTTTGTAATAAATTTGATTCCTTCTCATTCTTGTTTTGATCGCACTTTAATTCCTTCACTTGTTCATTCACCTTCTTTGCTTCATTCTATAAATTCATTCATTCACTATTACATTCAGAAAGCATCAGAATGTGATCGTCACTTCCACTCTGAAAAGTTTGAATTTAGCATATGAAATCAGTCGTGTACTTAATTATTGGCTTAAATATTCATTCCATACCGATACGTGAACAACATTCGTTTCTTTCTTTTTATTCGTTCCATCAGCTGCCGGTATCTGTTCGGGCTTTGGCAGACTTTTGTTCGATTTTTTGGATTGTTTCTTCGTTGGAGAAACTTGTTTTTTTGAAGTATTCGTTTGTTGTTTTGCTAACTTTAACGTCTCTTTTTCATTCGTTAATAACACTTTATTAGCATTCTAAATTCTTTACTAAATATTCAGTAACGCCAATGGCATTCAGATTATCACTACTGTTTTTGCAAAATCATGAGTAGTGCTGAACATATTGGTCAAAAATCCACATAATAATTCAGTGCAAATGATCAGATTTGTTTGGAACAGCAGCAAGTGTGATATTCGAAATGAAGATAACTGATCAAAAATTAAATTAATGGATTGTGATTCTTTCGAAGTAATCAAATAAACCGAACCTCTTTTCGTTTATTACTGTCAACATTTGCTTTCATTGTATTACATCGAGTATTTACAAAACGATTCAGACCGATCTACTCAAAATAAAACCGTTAATAGTGAATAATCAAACCGAGTCACTTGTTTGCCGTCGCATTTCACTCAACTAACATCAAGTTACTTTCACAATTCAGCTTTTTTATTTGCTCAGTTCAGATGAAATTCAGCATTCCTTCCCAATCGCTTCTACTCAACACAATGCAATGGATGAAAGTTGCCCCCGGACATGTTCGAAAACATTGAAGAAATTTAGTTCAGTTATAATTCAATTTAATGCTCATTTCAGGTGCACGCCATTCGAATGAGGATGTGAGAAATAAATTTCGTTTCCAGTTGAATTTATCATTGTCACGTTGCTCAATTGTTCAATCCAAGAACAGTGGTTTTTACGGGTTTGCGCTCTATTCCCCCTCCTTCTCTGTACAGATGAACCGAGTGCGCTTGAATGATCTTTTCTGACAATCTGTTACTTCTTAACGGCACATTTGAAGAAAACCACAAAACTGATCCGTCGGTCACGAAGTTTTCTATCAAAAATTCGTCGGTGTGATCAATGAAACAGTTGCACTTTGAACACAATTATTGGATGACTGTAGAAGAATTATGCAAAAAGGAACAACAATGATTTTTCAACCTTCGCCATTCTTCCCTGGCGTCCCAAAATTTTTCACCATAGAGAGGGAATTTCTGTGAGAACCTCTGTCCTAAGAACAAACGAGGATTATGAAGCCTAATGAGATAAGTCGTTCACCACGACTTTAATCACAACCCTACCACGCGCATTCATCCCTATAAAAACTCATTCGCAGTTTCTCACTTGCGATACTATCGCTACATCTCCGTGTCAATAAAACACTGATCAGAAACGAACCGAGTTGTTTCGATTATCAGAACAATTCGAATAATCGAACCGCCTGATACGCGGACAATTTGATAAAATGCCTGCTCCAATCAATCTTCTCAACAAATTGAAGTGAATTTGGCAAATTTTATTGCACGTACAAATTTTAGTCATTCAGTAATGGGACTGAAGGAAAAATCACATAATTAATGCCATTATTCAAAATAAAAAATTTNCAAAAATTTTGCATAAACGGTTCAGTTTATCAATCAGTGAATGTCGTCTCCAACAAAACTGTATGACAGCGGAAGATAACCCCAAGGCAATACAGCTAATCCTTTGATCAGTGTTCACTGAGCCTTCCTTTCAGCTTGTTTCCAAATTTTTCAAAGGGAAAATCTAATGCGAAAAACTGTGAACTGTGCTGGCTGAGGCTATGGAACGCGACTTTGTTGGATTAAGGCTTTATCAGTTCGTGTACTTCTCAACTTCTGCACTTTTTCCGTTTACACTAATCCATTCGAAGACATACGTGCAAAAGGTTAACTGTAATATGAGTAGTACCTGCCAGTACTGTAGAACAGCGTTTTTCAACCAGTGATGCTTCTTGCACCCTTTGGGCGTGCGAGATAGTGTCGTACGAGGTGCGAGGTAACATTCCATTTTATATGCATTAAAGAAGGCGAATATATTTTGAAAGACGTATCGTGCATGGATGAAAATTTATTCTGAGTTTAGGTAACTATAATATTACTTTTTTTGCAATATTTTTTTCTTCCAAATGATCATTTTTTACGTTGTTAAAAATTAATTATTAAAATTTTTTTCGGTCGCGTTAACTTTTATCCACAAATTAAGTATTGTTGTGAGGGGTGCGAGTACACTGTAAAATTTTATGGGGAGTGCAGGCGAACAAAAAGATTAAGAACCACTGCTATAGGGCTATCATGAGTACCATTTTCAAAATAGCTGTATCTTCGGGTTTGCCCAGCAACCCGGGTGTTCTTCTCAAAATCGACTTCAGGAAATGCTCTAGTTTTAGAAAAGTATGGATGTCGTTCAACAACTTTGCATACTTCCCTTGAATACAGCTCAGTTGAGTTAGGTGTGTCATACAGCTGAGTGATTCCATTACTATAGGGCTGTCATGATTACCATTTGCAAACTACCTGCATCTCCACGTTTGCCCAGCAAAATTATGGTTTCTTGGAACCATCGTACTGAGCAGATTCTCAAATTTCCCAAAACTATATATTGCCAAGAAATCCTGCTTCGTTTAAGAGATAAAATTGATCTTCTGAACATAAGTCGAACTACGTCAGCGATACCAGCAAAATCTGCACACTTGATCTTTGTGGCGTGATGAATGGTACACTTCTATAGAAATATCACGAGTACCATCTTCAAACTACCTTTATCCTTGGGTTGGCCCAGCAACTCTCGAGTTCGAGTAGAAATGAACTTCTGGAGATTCTCTAGTTTCGGAGAGTTATACATGTTGTCGATCATTCATTGTGAGTTTAAGCAACTTCCACTTTTTGTAGTACTCTTCTGTTCCAAATTACCACTTTTTAGATGTTATTAAAAATTTATCACTGAAAATTCTTCCGGTCTCACTTCTATTGATAAATAAGGCATCGTTTTGAGAGATGCGAAGACACCTTAAAATATTCAGGAGGAGCAATAAACAACGATATCGTCAGTGCTATTACAATACACAAAATCGTTTTGCCACGAAAATGCAAGGTTCGCAAAACGCGGCATTTCACACATTTCAAATACAACTTTTAATGGTTGTCGTTTGATGGCAATCTGATGCGATAACGCAGAAATGATTTGGAGAGAAAGGCACTCAAAATGAGATATGGAAAGCGCACGCAGATTGATCGACTGAACATGCGACCAATAGTATCTGTTTGATACAACCAGTAAGCTTTCGGGATCAATAATGATAACAAATAAGAACGGAACCAGTGCATGCTCTTCGTTTCTTTCATTTTCGATCCATCATTCCGTTACGCATTTTGAAAATTTTTATTTTTTATCTGGAGGTCAAAATGAGTTTTTTTTAAATCGAAATTTGCAATCCTAATCTGCCATTTTCTAAAGTTGTTATTGTAAACTGTGCTTGCTTAATTGGGCACTGTTGTTGATATCGGGCGCCACACGCGCGCTTGCGCTTAGGTTACTGCGCATTACTTCACGCGCACACATATTATTCTTCAATACAGAAAATACAGCTGATAACTCATCTTCTCTCTCGTCAGTCATCTCAAAATGCGTAACGGAATGAATTTGCATAGCTACAGTGGAGAATTTGACGGGCTCCAATGCAAACGCA